TGGAGTAGCAGACATTTGACATGCTTTACCTTGTCTCCTCAGCAGCCCTAGGAGGCGTGGGTGGGATGATTCTGCCTATTTGGAGACAGTATAACGGAGTGCAATGGCTTTGCAAGTCAAATGGATTTGACTCTAAGTCTCTTCAACTCTAAGTCTCTTTAACTCTAAGTCTCTATGAGCCACAGGTTCTTCATTTTATAAGATGGGGCTGTTTCCTCCTACCTCCTTGGGTGGTGGTAAATATTAAATTAATGTCAAGTGCTAGTTTAGGCACTCTGTAAGTGGTTACATGTTGCCATTTACGGGTGAAGAAGCCGAAGTAAAAACTTGGGAAGGTGAACTAAGTTGTCTCCTGGCTGTTCATTAAGTCAGCAGTAGACCAGCGTTGCTACCCAGGCACTCTTAACCCCAAACCCAGGTGCTTGACGCCAGCCCCAGCAGCCTGTGTCATACCATGTCTTGTTATCCCTTGATTCATCCTGTGTGTGAGTTGAGACGGGCGGCTTGTGTAGAGTTGGCTCGTGCCAATTGTGCTGGTCCTCTTGGATTGGAGAGATTGTCCCCACTGTCACTCTGACTTTAATACGCTGTATTCCTGTAGTCTAAAAGTCGTGTGAATGTGCCCATCTCACTCAAGCTCTTTCCGGTCTTCCTTTGATTTAGGAGAAAGAATCCTGGGTTATGCTGAGGAGCCCTGTTATCTCTGGTTTGTCATGGAGTTCTGTGAAGGTGGAGACCTGAATCAGTACGTCCTGTCCCGGAGGCCGGACCCAGCCACCAACAAAAGCTTCATGCTACAGCTCACGAGCGCCATTGCCTTCCTGCACAAAAACCACATCGTGCACAGGGACCTAAAGCCAGACAACATCCTTATCACGGAGCGGTCTGGCACCCCCATCCTCAAGGTGGCAGACTTTGGACTAAGCAAGGTCTGTGCTGGGCTGGCCCCCCGAGGCAAAGAGGGCAATCAAGACAACAAAAATGTGAATGTGAATAAATACTGGCTGTCCTCAGCCTGTGGCTCAGACTTCTACATGGCCCCTGAAGTCTGGGAGGGACACTACACAGCCAAGGCTGACATCTTTGCCCTGGGCATTATCATCTGGGCAATGATAGAAAGAATCACTTTCATTGACTCTGAGACCAAGAAGGAGCTCCTGGGGACCTATATCAAACAGGGAACTGAGATCGTCCCTGTTGGTGAGGCGCTGCTAGAAAACCCAAAGATGGAGTTGCACATCCCCCAGAAACGCAGGACTTCCATGTCTGAGGGGATCAAGCAGCTCTTGAAAGATATGTTAGCTGCTAACCCACAGGACCGGCCTGATGCCTTTGAACTTGAAACCAGAATGGACCAGGTCACATGTGCTGCTTAAAATTCAGGGCAAAGCATCTTGGGTGTTTTTAAACTAGGTGAGTGTACCCTTCTTGTTGTGCATGCACTCTTCCTGGAGTGGAATTTTCAGCCTGGGCCCTGGGGTGGGCCCTAAGGAGTTGGGGGGAAATGCAAGGTTGTAAGATCCCCCCAAGTCTCGAGGAGATATGTGGGATTATTTGAGTATGAGTGGAAAGTCCAGAGAAGTTTTCTGAGGGGGGTTGAATTTGAGCTCAGTCTCTTCAGTTTTTTAGAAACATTTTTTCTTATCAATTAATAAATGCTTACTGTAGGAAATGTGCAAAAGAGGTACAGGCAATTTTTTCCAGAGAACAGACTGCTATCCCTAATTGCATCCCTCCACACACATCCAGTTCTACATAGTTTCAATCTTGCTGTAGTTAGATACAGTTTTGCTTCCTGCTCTTTCAGTCAACACCAATCTGAGCATTTCCTCATGTCATGCTTTGAAAGTATGGCTTTCAATAGTTGACATTTCATTATATGTACCATATTGTAGCCATTCTCCTACTTTAGCTATCAGATCGTTTCTCCATTTTTAGATACTATATAGTGTGTGAGTGAATATTCTTATCTGAAAGTCTTCGCTTATTTAACAGATTCATCGTAGGCTTTCATTTGTCAAGTATGGTGCTAGGCTCTGGAATAACAGTGGTAAGCAGAATCCGAAACTTGCCTCATCTTCATGAATTCTGCTGCGTAGACTGGGAGAGAAACAATATTTATCGTAGTTGCAACAAAGGAGAAGAGGTATTAAGGGAAATTGACCTTTCACGAGATGGTGCCCAGAGGCAAGGGTGGGAAATAGGGGAAAAAGGGAGCATTCCAGGTAGGACTAGCTTCTGCAAAGGACCTGAAGCCAAAGGGACCCTAACACACTTGAGAGAAGACCAGTTTGGGTTAGTGAAGAATATAGACGTGGTAATCAGGGAGAACAGCGACCTGCCAGTAGACTGCACAGAGCTGAGGTGGAAAACCCAAAAGTGTGTACCGGGAACAGCAGGTTCAACTGGACCAGTCTGAGGTGCGAGCAAGGGAAATAAGATCACAAATTAGGTGAAACCTGGGACCCTGGAATTTGATCTTGACTTAGCAGGCTTTGAAGCCATCTGCGGACCAGAGCAGAAACAGTACAGCGTCGAAAACTTCAGCATGTGCAAGTTGAACAAAAGACTGGAGACTGGGAGACCAATAGGCTCAGTTGTTTTATTCACACTAGTGAGGGATGTTGTTGAACCTGAAATTGAGTAGTAGCACTGAGGATAGAGTGTCTTGATCTTCAGGGCAGAGAATTGGCAAGACAACTGGCCAGATGTGGAAGCAGACGAAAGTAATATAGGAGATTCATGGCAGTAGGTACAAATGCTGGCTAATATATTATTCAGATTTGAATCCCTTTCCTTAACAGAAATCCCTAACTGCCTTTTGTGGGAAGGGAAAATAACATTGACCACCATATTTGCTACATATATTTGTATACATATTTGCTACACCATATGTATCATTTTGTTTCGCCTTTGCAACCCTGTAAGGGGTTAAGTCATTTACTCAATATCCTGGTAATCAAAGGGCAGGTATAACTTACTCATGCCCATCCCCCCACTCCTTATTTCTTAATGTCAATATGGCAGGCTGGATCTAAGGTGCTCTTATATTTTGCTGAAGCCTTGAGATGAAGTGATGGGGATGGTGCTGGTCCCAGTGGCCATGAGGAAGGCGCCTCAGCACATCGGGCAAGGAGCCCGCCATCTCCTGGGTGGGTTCTCAGTCCCCTCCTTCCCTTCCTCACCTTCAGATTTCTAGTTGGAGTTGATGAGTACTGAGTTGAGCCTGGTTGTATCTGTCATGTTTTCAGAGAATTTATTTCTGGAGTGAGTCACTAGGTTTAATTCTTCCATTCCACAGACATTTCTTGAGCACCTTCCAGGTGCCAGGCCAGTTTGTCCCACTGCCCAATGAGTAAGAGAATAGTGTTCCCTAAAGTTAGGTTTGGGCTAATACCACGTTAGAGCCCCCCAAAGGGTTGGTTAGACAGTGTTCTAATTGTATTTCATGCTGTCACTTCCCATTTCCATCTCATCTTTTCCACTTTTAAAAAACCTCTTAGAATTCAAGTTTGCCCTGGGATAGGAAGAAGGTTGTTATTAGAAAAGGGACCTGAATTTGGGTTAGGATTATGGGGTTGTCACAACTAATTGAGATCATGGCTCACATCTGGGTGTCCATGCTTGGGATTTGTGCTGTTTTGCAGGGCAGAGTTTTAGCTAAAGAGGAGTCATTCCCGCAGGTAGGAGAAATAGGTGACCTTGAGAGGAGAAGAGATTAGGACATAGTGACTGCCCAGTGTTCCAGCTCTGACAGCTAATGAGGACAATACAGTACTTGGTCTTTTGGTGCCTGTTTGACCATAGCTTCTCCTGCCCGTCCTTAGAATTATGGGCCTGGGCCCAGGTCTACATGACCAGGAACTGAGCCTTGTGTCAAAAGTTTCAAATCAGTTGTGGTATAAATGAGCTCTATCTGTCTGGTTAGAGAATCAGAGGCTCGAACTGAGAAGAACTATTGGGTCCAAACACCCTTCCCTCCCACCAGGCTTTATAGATGGAGAAGCTGATTCAAATGTTCATTTGACATATTTATTGGGAAACTATTTAGCAGGGACTATTAGACACAGAAGATACATTAGTGAACAAAACAGACAAATTCATGAAGTTGTGGAGACATTCTATTAAGGAAACAGAGAAACATAGGGCATATGTTAGAAAGTGCTAAGTGCTGTTGGGAAATGTGGAGCAGGATAAGAGATCAAAACGCTGGGAGGTCGGGAGTGGGGATGTACTTCTGGCTTTAAGTAGCAGAGATTAGGGTGGGTCTCCTTGAGACAGTGACATTTGAGCAAAGGTTAGAAGGAGTTGAGGGAGTGAGTCATGAGGATTTCTGGAGAAAGCATCCCAGACAGGGAACAGCCAGCATAAAGGCTTGAAAGCCATAGAGAGTGAGCAGGGAGGAGAGTGGAGGAAAAGAGGCCAGAGAGGTCATAGGAGTCAACAAGAAGGGGCCTTACTGGGCATTGTAAGGATTTGGGAAGATGGAAAGCCAATGGTGTGTTTTCAGCTCTGCGATATCTGACCTTTCGAAAGGATCTGTGACTTCTGTGCTAAAAGTAAACTATAGGGGAGCAAGTGAGGGGATAAGATGGGAAGTTCCTGTAATAACCCAGGTGAGAGGTAATGGTAGCGTTAAACAGTGGAGCAGGGGAGGTGATGATTAGATTTGGGATGAATTTTGAAGTCAGCCAACAAGCTTTCCTGTTGGATAGAATGTAAGGTATGAGAGAGGAATTAAGGATGACTGGTTTTGGCCTTGGAAGCCATTGGAAGCCGTCTCAAATGAGATGGGGAAGACATTGGGAGGAACAGGTTTACTGGAGCAAGTTAGGTTTTCGTCATCTGAAAGTTTGGAAGGCCTAGAATCCAACTACAAAGGCAGAGTGGACAGTTTGAGTGAGTCTGGAGTTCAGGGGAGATACCTGGTCTAAGATGGCCAGCGTAGGGTATAGAGAAGATTTCAAAGAATGACTGAGCTCTGGGCCATCCAGCACTGAGGTTGGCGAAAGAAAGGAGTCAGAGATTGGAGACCTGCAGGTAAGGAAAAGACCTCAAGAGGGAGAAGTAATCAGACACGGCGTAGATGCCTGTCATTTGAGTGAGAGGATGACCGAGGATTGACCACTGGATTCAGCCATGGGGAAGTCCTCAGTGCTTATGAACAATTTGGGTGGCACATAATGAGCGAAAACCCTTAACTAGAGTAGGTTTGAGAGGGAATGAAAGAATTGGAGACAGTGAGAGAGCAGACCAATGATTCTTAGTTTGTGGTCTGAAGACCCTATTATACTCTTGAAACCAAGGACTCCAGAGAGCTTTTGTTTTAGGTTTTATCTATGGATATTTGCGGTATTAGAAATTAAAACTGAGAAATGTTTTACATGTTCCTTTTAAATGAATACATAATCATGAATTGGTTGCATATTAGCATAGGTATCATAAAATTTATAAAAAATAACTTTTCAAAAAGAAATAATGAGTAGAACGGCACTGTTTTATATTTTTGCAAATCTCTTTAATATCTGCCTCAATAGTCAGCTGGATTCTCATATTTGCTTCTGCATTGTAACCTGGTGCCATGTCTCTCATTATGGGACTTCTGGAAAACTCCACTAGGAGAGAATGAAAGTGGAAAAGGCAAATAATGTCCCAGTGTTATTTATGAAGAGGTTTGGCTTCAGGATTCTTGAACTCTAGACCATACTTTGGGAGCCAATGGTATATAGATCAGGGGTCGGCAAACTGCGGCTCGTGAGCCACATGCGACTCTTTTGGTACATACACGTGGCTCTGAAGTAAAATTGAAAATGAAAATAAAACTATCATAGTTCATTTATAAAAGTTTTAAAGGATACTATTCACATAATGGTGATTTCATTTGTTTTATGGCTCTTGAATAATTTTTAAATTGTGAGGGACAGGATTGGCTCTTCAGTCTCAAAAGTTTGCCGACCCCTGGTATAGATGACTGTTCCTGAGGAATTTTACTGGGGAGGGGAGCTGAGAAGTAGGGGGCAGCGGGCGATCTAGAAAGAAGGGAATTATATTTGGGGTCCCAATTGAAGGGACGGAGCTTGTGTGTCCTGATTCCTAGCCAACTTGCCTGTTAGGCCTATTGTCATGGCCCCAACTCTAGCTGAAAATAGGAAACCCACTTGTCCCCAGTACCAAGCATGATAAAGAAACGCCTCAGTAATCTAGCTTTGTAGATTTCACAGTAATGTTTAAATCAGGGCTAAATGGTTTTAGTTTTTTGCAACAATGAATGAAAACGCACTTGGGTTGCAAACATTGGGATTCCTCCGAAAGTAGTGTTGCCTAATAGACTATCTATGATTGAGCCCCATTTCTGTGGTTTACTGGCTGTGTGACCTCAAGCAGGTTATTTCACCTCTCTGGGGTTTATTATC